AGAAGAAGATAAAATAAAATAAAATAAAATTAATTAAAATAAAAAATGATTAAAATTTTTTTAAATTAATAAAAAAAAGAAAGAAGAGCAACCAAACCAGAAAATAAATCCACCAATGATAACAAGCGCTAAAAACTATACTAAAACAACAACAAAAAATGGACAGACAGAACCCTAGGACAAATGGTAAAAGCAAAGCTATACAGACAAAAATCACACACAGCAGCATACACATACACACTCACAAAAAGAGAAAAAGGGGGGAAAATATACATATATCGTTGCTTCCAAAGTCCACCTCCTTAATTTGGGATTCGTTGTCTATTCAGGTATTCCACAGATGCAGGGTACATCAAGCTGATTGTGGAGATTTAATCCGCAGCACCTGAGGCTGCTGGAGAGCTTTCCCTTTCTCTTCTTTGTTTGCACAGCTGCCGGGGCTCAGCTTTGGATTTGGCTCCGCCTCTGCGTGTAGGTCGCAGGAGGGCGTCTCTTCTTTGCTCAGACAGGACGGCATTAAAGGAGCAGCTGATTCAGAGGCTCTGGCTCACTCAGGCCGGGGGGGAGGAAGAGGCACGGAGTGGGGGGCGAGCCTGCGGCGGCAGAGGCCGGCGTGACGTTGCACCAGCCTGAGGCGCACCGTGCGTTCTCCCGGAGGCGTTGACCCTGGTTCCCGGGACCCTGGCCGTGGCGGGCTGCACAGGCTCCCAGGAGAGGAGGTGTGGAGCGTGACCTGTGCTGCACACAGGCTTCTTGGTGGCGGCAGCAGCAGTTTTAACGTATCATGCCCGTCTCTGGGGTCCGCGCTGGGAGCCGCGGCTCGCACCCGTCTCTGGAGCTCCTTTAAGCGGCGCTCTTAATCCCCTCTCCTCACGCACCAGGAAACAAAGAGGCAAGAAGAAGTCTTGTGCCTCTTCGGCCGCTCCAGACTTTTTCCCGGACTCCCTCCTGGCTCTTTGTGGCTCACTAGCCACAGGCTGTGTTCACGTATCCAACCCCAGTCGTCTCCCTGGGATCCGACCTCCGAAGCCGGAGCCTCAGCTCCCAGCCCCCACCCATTCCGGCAGGTGAGCAGACAAGCCTCTCAGGTTGGTGAGTGCCAGTCGGCACCGATCCTCTGTGCGGGAATCTCTCCGCTTTGCCCTCCACGCCCTGTTGCTGCGCTCTCCTTCGCGGCTCTGAGGCTCCCCCCCGCCCCACACACAGTCTACCCCGGCGAAGGGGCTTCTAGTGTGTGAAAACCTTTCCTCTTTAACGGCTCCCTCCCACTGGTGCAGGTCCCGTCCCCAATCTTTTGTCTCTGTTTTTCCTTTTTTCTCTTGCCCTACCCAGGTACGTGGGGACTTTCTTGCCTTTTGGGAGGTCTGAGGTCTTCTGCCAGGGTTCAGTAGGTGTTCTGTAGGAGGTGTTCCACGTGTAGATGTATTTCTGATGTATTTGTGGGGAGGAAGGTGATCTCCACGTCTTACTCTTTCGCCATCTTGAAGCTCCCCCTCTTTTTATTTTATAAATTAGGCTACTAAGGTTAAATGAGGAGCGGAGTTTGGAGAGGACACCATGTCTTTTGATTCAAAGCCTTGGAAACTGTGAAAAGCATGAACACTATGTAGCCTCAGGTTAAAATAACCTTTGATCAGGATTTCTTTATTTATGGTCCTAATTTGAAAGGATGGGTTTCAAGGTATATATAAGCCCCTTCATGTTGTAGAAAAATGTGTATGTCTCTGTGTGTATTTAAATTTTGTATGTGTCTTTTCTGGGAATGGCTTTCATTAGTTTCTTAAAAGTGGTTTGTAATTCTCCTAGAAAGTAATAAATACTGCTGTGTATTAATAAAAGATTCCACAACAGATGGTAAAAGTTATACAAATTTATCACAATATAGAGATTTAAATAAAACAAAATGTAAATTAATAAGGCTCAGTATTCTAAAGTCACATATTTTTGTAAAAAGGAAAAAGTAAGAGAAACATCATACATACATTGTATACTGCGCAGGAATCAATAAGGTCTGTTAGCAGATATTTCTGATGATAAGCTTATTATTCAATTATACACTGAAAAATCTTAATAAATATGAAGTGAACAAACATATTTATATATCTTTATTAATTTATGAATTCTGTCATCTTATTTTTAATTTACTTATCTACACTGTTATTAAAGAACAGTGCTTCTTTAATCTTTTAGGAAGAAAGAGAGAGAGATGGGAGGGAGAGAGAAAGAAAGGGACAGATAATCCTGTTTCTTGATCTTATTTAACTTTTGGTGTCTATGGAAACCTCAGGGCTTAAGAGAAAATGGCAATGAAATGACAAAAAAACAGTGTATTTTAATCCTCCTGGGCCAAAGTTTCATAACATATGTATTATTCAGAGTAGATTTCACACCAACAAAAATTTAATCCTCAGTCACAAAGAGTAAATAAGAATTTCTTACAGTCTCTTGAGTTATCTTATTCCATAATTCATATGGTGATACTCCATTAACAATAACGCAGGTTAATGCACAGGCATCAGTTAGTATACACCCTCCACTGAAAATCATTTCCTATTAATTTCCTGCCAGTCGACTTGCACTCAGTCATCCACCTGTCTGCAATACCTTGTGTCCTTGTGTGCACTCACGCAAAACTCCACTCTCCCACAGTCAAGATCACAATATATGTATTTATAGTAAAAATGATCAGACAAAGATGGCTTGTCAACCTTCTCTGGGTAAATAGCATATTATAATTTCCTTACAGAATACTTCTTAAAAACGTTGACCTTAATCTGTGTGTTCCAGTTAAAAACCAACAACATCTATCTGAAATATAAATAGTAAATTTCATAATGAAAAGAAGCATAAGCATAGAAAATCTTCTGAATGATAGCATTGTGCTCTAGGGGATATGGAAAGCACTCATCCAGTTGAAGGTTACAATGCCTTATTTCCTATTCCTCCCTTCATAACTTACATAACTTTCTAAACTTTTGCTTTGATTTTAGATCATTGAAAATATTGAATGTAATCATTTCAGAAATTATGGCTCTTTATATGTTTAACAGGGCAATAAGAGCTAATACTTTTCAAGGGATTACATTGTGATTAGTGATTTATGAAAATTGTCTCATTAATTATTTCTTTTGAGGTAGGTACTATTATTTCTATTGTATTATTTCTATGAGATTGGAAAACTGAAACTCATAGGGATGAAACAGTTGCCCAGAGTTGCTCACTAGTATTAGGAAAAGCAGGATGCACTCTCACAGTGGAAACAAGGAGGTCACTTAGAATAGAAATACAAATTTGGTCTTAACCACATTAACATACAGGGCAGAATTGCTAATCTGTGATTAATTCATTAAATTGAAGTTATTGGTGAAATTGGTGCAACGGCAGTATGTCAAAAATTCCAGTAATGGGGAATTTATTTTGCCTTGTGCTTAATTTTTCACTTCTGTTATCTTCTATTCCAGGAAAGATCATCAAGTAGCAAATAGGTCAAAAGCATCTTTATTTGCAAAAGTCCTATAAAACGCATTTCTACAAATTTAATGCTGCTAAAGTTAAAAATCAAAATTAGTGAATCAGCTTTAGTATTGATCTAATTTATTCTTTTTGCGGTATGCGGGCCTCTCACTGTTGTGGCCTCTCCCGTTGTGGAGCACAGGCTCCGGACGCGCAGGCTCAGAGGCCATGGCTCACGGGCCCAGCCGCCCCGCGGCATGTGGGATCTTCCCGGACCGGGGCACGAACCCGTGCCCCTTGCATTGGCAGGCGGACTCTCAACCACTGTGCCACCAGGGAAGCCCGATCTAATTTATTCTTAATCTTGCTTGATGTTGACTACTATATTGACGACTGGTGTCAGAAGGCAAAAGTTATTGTTTGGTAATTCTGTTTGTAGAAATATGGATATCAGACACCATAATGTATGATTTTGTAAAATAATTTTACTTTTTGATTAGTGAGATCAGCTGAAGTGAGTACTATATATGTACAGTAATTCTCCATGGGCAGAGGGTTATTTTTTAATATTTTTAGATGTTTTTAGTTATCTGGCAAATGCAGCTTATAGGAGTCAGTCAGAAGGGTGAATGGAACAACTTGAATTCATTATCATTCTTGAAAGAAAAAAAGTGCTTGACATGGTATGGTAACGGTGACTGAGAAACACAAAAGATTCATAATTTGAAAGCGTATGATTTTTATTTTGTTTTTTCATAATATATGGGAATTCACTATTTTCTGTTTATCAGTGAGAAGATGAGAAACCTTTTAAAATTATTGTACATAATATGTGTTCATAAATATGATCTGACCAGTTTGAGCCAATGGTTACAGTTTCAGATAAACACAAACTTGTCCTAAGAGTCTTTAAATGTGTTTCTATGTCCTCTTTTCTATTTGCCTTCTGAACAATGAAGACAAAACTTAATTGAGGTATTTTTATATGTATGGCTAATTAGTATGAGGCTGAAGAACAGCATTGTGCTGCTTGCAATATATATTAGTGCCTCTGCCACTTTTCCAAACATTAATAAGCATTTTAATATTTTATAAGGCAAGTTCTAAATTATGAAAAATAAATCTGAACACTGTTAATACCCAATGGGATACATTAAAAAAGGAGGATAGCATGAACTACTTTGTAGCTGAGTACTTAACTCAAGAAATTATAATTTCTTGCTGATGTTGGAGACCACAGTGAGGCTTAAGAGAGGGCATGGGCTTTTTAAAAAAGAGCTGGTAGGTCATGAATGTATTTGAGCACTGTAAAGGATAAAAATTCATGCTCAATTCAGCTCACTGGTGAATCAGAGAAGCAGTTGCAGAAGCTGTCTGAAAATCATAAGGTCTGACTAATTCTGTGCTTTAATCCATTACACATCAGGATTTTCTCTGAGCCTTAATACTGTATCACTATTTTCAATTATATCTTGATAAGTGCCAGGAAAAGGGCAATACATGGACAGGAAAACACTTCAACATCCATTTATTTCTAAATTGCAGGCAAAGAGCTGAATATAATGACGATGCTTCGCTCATCTTCCAGCTCCCCTTTACATCGGAATATTTATGCAAGAATGTGCTTAGATAAGTGTGAGTATAATTCATAATCAATGGTTTGAAACTGAATATTTAAGTGTGTGCACAGGTATTCGAGTGTTGCAACTCATATGACTTGACTCAATACAAGTATTTCACAAGAACTGATGAGAAGACTTCATTTTCACTCTCTTTTAATCTAAAATAAAAGCAGGAAGAAAAGTGTATTGACCTCATACACTTTTACTGGGTCCTTAAAAAAACCATCTTTTGTGGTTTAACAAAATAACATATTCTAGTGAACATGGTTAGATATGAAAATTATAGAGTGAATTAAAAAAAATTTCTTCTGATCTATCTATGTCTGCCATTAGTCACATTTTTTACCATATACTGCTTTTACCTTTAGTATCATTTTGGTCCTCTTAATATGAAATTAATAGTGATGTTTTATGCAAAATATATTTGATTTTCCTTTGTTTTCTAACTCAAAATATTTTTTAAGTATTGGTCATTAGATTTCCATATAATCCAGTCAATTGCCCAGTTAAAATATTGTGACTAGCAGATAGGTCATAACTGTAAGCATCCTTTCTTCCAGAGGCATTTGCACATAACTCCTGCTCTCTCTTCAGAAGTAAACTTTCCAAGAAGCCCTTCCTGACTCCCCACACTGGAGGAAAGAGGGGACTGTATGATTTACTTTTCCAGATTGCTCACGCGCGTGAATGACAATTTGGGGTTGGCTCTTGGCTGGCAGTCAGCCAAGACTCTGTCCCATGGGCATTGGCTCTTCTCCATATAGATCACTCCACGTGTTGATTGTGCTTCCTTACATCATGATAGCTAGATTCTAAGAATGAGGATCTGATAAACAGGAAGTGGAAGCTGCCACTTTCATAAGGTTTGGCATAGTGTCATTTCTCCCTTGTTCTCCTGTAAGATGTCTTACAGCACCCTGAATCTTTCTTTCATAGTGCCATTTATGGCTTGTCATTACACAGATATTGGCGTGATTTTTAAAATTGTCTGTCTCCCGTTAGATTATAAGTGTCTAGTGAGTAGGCATCTTTGATTTTTCTCACTACTGTGTCTCCAGCATTTAAGCCAATGACTCGTACATCAAGATGATCAAAAATATTTTTTATGATTGAATGAAATACATTCAATATTTTGCTTATTTACTTGGGCAAGAAGCCATGCTTGTGTAGTGTTAAATTAATATCAGATTCTGACTTTGATCGAATAATTTACTTTCTTGATTAGAAAAATGTTCTTAGTTTCTCCAAGTTGAATAGACTATTCATTTAAATTTTCTGTCAATCACTGAAATTTTCTTTGTAGGAGGATTCATTTTTCTTAGCCTGAGAAAAATGTACTAAAGAGAGTTTGTAGTCAAATTTTACATTAATTTAAACTGAACTGCTAATAGGAATGCAAACAATTATTATATAGAATTTTTAATTTTTAAGTCTTTCTCCTATATTATAGTATATGCAACCAATCAGATATTTTAGATGAGTTGTCCTCAACTTGGCTGCACATTGGAAAATCTGAAAGCTTTAAAAAGTACTGATGCATGGATCCCACCCCCAGAGATTCTGATTTAATTGGCCTGGAATACAGCCTGGAAATTTGTTCTTTAAAATCTTCACAAATGATTATAATGTTAAGCCATGGTTGAGAACCACTGCTTTAACCAGTTCTTTTCAACCCTGCCTCCTTGGGTATTAATGGTGCTTGGCTATTTGTATTTTTTTAAAACCCTATATGATTCTAATTTGGAGTACCAGCTGAGAAGCACAGTTTCAGACAGTATTATTTGCCTTTTATATTTATTTCACATCAAATAATCACCCACTTTATATCTTTTGAATTACATTTTTTCCAAATAATACACATGTGCTTTAAAAAATATCTACCTATTTCTTATTATCTATTTTGCATGATCGCATTATTAATATTTGATGCTCAATATATGCTTAGCACCCATTGTATATATTAAATATGAACAAAGTCATTAATTACACTCACAATAATTTTCTTTTCTCTGAAAATATTATGAATACTTTGCTATGCATTTATTACACTGATGAGTTATGCAGAACATGTAGAATAATTGTTGAGACCACAGCTTTGATTTGCCTGGTTCTGTGATTGAGATAGTTGAGCACTGGATCAACTAGTGGGAATAGTTAAACAAAGTAAATATTTGCAACATGATGTAATTTGAAAGAGCAAATGTCCCAAGAAATGAGAAGTACATGCTATATTTATCTTAAGGCCTGAGCCTGAAAGCACAGTGTCATTTATAGTGTATCCCACTGTTAAGCAGTCACAGGGCTCAGATTCAGGGAGTGGGGATGTAGATTGCACTTCTCAATGGGAGAATTGTGAAAAAATTCCGGGCCATTTAAAAAACTGCTACGGAAGCACACTGAAAAATTGCATGTAATTACTTCCTTTTCTTGCAATATGGTGAACTAGGTACCAAGATTGAGCCTCTTACTAACAGCAGCTACAACTTTGGATATCATAAAAAGGACATCCTTAAATACATCAGATTGCTGACAAGAAATAAAGGAATAGTCAGGCCAAAGACTAAGTAAAGGTACATGCTAAAAGAGATAGGCAAGACACAAGCTGGATCTTGCCTAGAAGGCATTTGTAAAACTGAGTAAATTTGAGTTTCATAGGTCTTAGTGGATAGGAATAAAAACACAAGGTAGGAAGTCAAATAGGAGACTTCCTGTAAAGCTGCAATCACGAAAGACGTCACCATTGGTGTAAAGGCAAACTAGAAATAGTTAACTAACTACCCTAAGAAATGCCAAAGATAATTGTTCTGTTCTGAACATTGGTGCTGACTGGAGGTATAAAAAACTTATCCTCAAAATTAGCAAAAATAAACTGTTTTTTTAATCCATAATTGTAGTCTGAATTTTCAGTGTTGTGGTGACCTGAAAATATTCTTTTTAAAAAATTTTTTTATTGGAATAAAGTTGATTTATAATGTTGTGTTAGTTTCTGTTGTACAGCAAAGTGAATCATTTATACATATACACATAACCACTTTTTTTTTAGATTATTTTCCCATCTAGGTCTTTAAAGAGTATTGAGTAGAGCTTCCTGTGCTATACAGTAGGTCCTTATTAGTTATCTATTTTATATACAGTAGCATGTATATGTCAATTCCAATCTAATTTCTCTCTCCCCTCGCTTTTCCCCCCGGTAACCATAAGTTTATTTTCTACATCTGTGACTCTATTTCTGTTTTGTGAGTAAGAAATATTCTTAACACTTGAATGGCTATTTAAGTCATAGAGTAGTTATGCAACAGAGTAGTATACAGCAATTATGAAAAACAGAAACTCAACAGCACAAAAAGGTGAATTGAGAGAAAGAAACTAGACATAACATTATACATAGTGTGTAATTAAATTATATGAATTTCAACAATAGGCAAAACTAAACCATATTGTTTAGGAATGCATAATTAGGTGGGAAAACTAGAAATAAAGCCATAGGTGAATCTTACAAAAATGAAAATAGTCTGTACTTCTAGCCAGGTAGGAGGTCTATTAAGACATCTTAAAAAAATTAAAATATTGGTAGGAAATTTTCACTCACCCTTCTGAGAATTGATAAATCAAAGATGAGAGGAATACAATTAACTAGTTTAATCAGAGAATTTAGAAAGTTTTTTGGATAAGAAATTCATTATCTACAAATCAGCCACATTTCTGTACATGAGAAAGCAAGAAATTATAATACAAAATACAAAGAATATAAAGTATCTGGGATTAATTTAAAAGAAGTTATGCATGCCCTTTACGGATAAAAAATAAGATTTTGAAAACATTGAAAAAATACCAAATAATGGAGATATATGTCATGTTCATTGATTAAAAGTTACAGTATTATATTAATAGATTTAAGCAATTCTAATCAAAATCTTAACAGGCTTCTAGGTAAATGTGAATGTGTGTGTGTGTGTGCGCTCACATGCATAATTTGACAAACTTATTTGAAATGTATGTGCTTGAGCAAAGAGTAAAGAATAACCAATTAATCACGAAGTAGAGCAAAGTGCGGGAGACTTGCCTTTTTGTATACCAAGAATTATTTTATTACTACAGTAATTAATACAATGGTTTAATGGTGAAGGAATAGGCAAATTAACTAGTGAAATGAGAACATAGAAAAACATCTATAGAAACAGTAACCTGATTTATGCAAAATAGTAGAGAAACATTTTTGATTAAATGAAGTTAGGACACAATTATCTTGATGGAATAAAAATGAAATTAGAATCCTACTTTTCATGTCAAAAATCAATTTCAGGGCTTCCCTGGTGGCGCAGTGGTTGAGAGTCCGCCTGCCGATGCAGGGCACGCGGG